AAAAAAGAGTCATGTTTGGTTACAAATATCTGATTAACATGTTTGTCTTATCAGAAGCTGATAATCAAAATGTGCTTGTAAGAGATAGGACAAATTGAAATTATGTCCATGTTAAATCTTTTATTAGTCCCTTTTCATTAATATTAAAATAACTTAGGCATTATAATAAGTAAGAGCTGGTCATATCTTAATTTAAAAGGTAATACACTGGGGTTGGCCGGTTAGTTCAGTTGGTTAGATCACAGTTATGTCACCAAGTTATATCACCTTGATTATATCACCAAGGTCAAGGGTTCAGATCCCCATAATGGCCAGTCACCAAAAAGAAAGAAATTAAAAAAAAAAAAAAAAGTCTCCAGAAATTCCCAAAAAAGGGAAATACACTGGATTTAATGATAAAAACTACATAACCTTCCCACAGTATCCCACCAATCTCTAGGATGATTCTTCAGTAATTTTAAGCTCATCCATGAGATTCAAGATGTTCTTGTCCCACAATGACCTCAATCCTACAGCAACATAACACAATGGAGTTCCAGTAAATTCCAGAGGATGGCAAACTGCTTACTCAGTTATAGAAGAATACAAGTTGGCAAGAAACATAAGTTAGATCTGACAAGGGAATCAAACCATATGAACTTAAGTCCAAACATAGCTCACCAAGATCATAATGTTCTCTTGAGAGATCAAATATATTTTTTAAAAGGATAAGGGTATATTACCTGATACCAAAGCCAGACAAAGACACTATAAGAAAAAAATTATAAACCAATATCTTGTATGAATATTGGTGCAAAAATTCTCAACTAAACACTACCAAAACAAATTTGACAGCATATTAAGAGGATTATATATCATAATCAAGTAGAATTTGTTCCTGGAAGGTAAGACTGATTTAACATATGAAAAACAACCTGTGTAACACACCATATTAAGAGAATGAAGTAAAACAAACAAACACATAATCATTTCAAGTGCTGCAGGAAAAGCAGTTGACAAAATTCAATACCCTTTCATGATAAAAATACTCAACAAACTAGGAATAGAAGGAAATTACCTCAATATAATAAAGGACAAAAATTAAAAATCCATAGCTAACATCATACTCAAAGCAAAAGACTGAAAGCTTTTCCTCTAAGATCAGAAGACAAGAATGTTTGTTTCTGGATTTCCGGTCAAGATGGTGGAATAGACAGTCCCCTGTGTCACTCTCTCCCACAAATCAACCAATTTACAACTATAAAAAAGAAACAACAGCAAAACTGGGGCCGCTCGAGCTCAGGAGAAGAGGAGGAGAGACCTACGGAGTGCATGAAGGTGGGAGAAACCATGATGAGAGAAAGAAAAACCTGCTCTGACCATTTTGTGCTGCGGCTGCTTTAAGGCTGGAGCTGATGAGTGCATGGAGCAGGAGCCAGCAAAAGCCGCAGCAGTGCCCTTCAGATCGAGTTGCTTGGAGGCAGCAGGGGAGAAGGGGGCCTTGGTGGCTGCTTGGCCAGCAAGACCACTAATAGGATTCCCATGGACCTACATAGGAGCGAAGAGCCACAACAACTGAAAAAAAGGAGCCACTCAGAGACTGGTGAGTCATTGCAAGGGACTGGCACATGGCCCGTCCCATGGGAAGTGTTTGCAGCATGGGCAGTGGGGGAGATGGGTCCACCGGGGAAACACTGGGGTACAGCAAGGACAGCCAATCTGCTTCCCAATCAGCATAGGACCACTCAGAGGAGACTGGTCAGGAATATAGAATTGCATGGGGTACAGTTTGATGAAAAGACTCAGGCCCAGATCAGAGTTTCTACACAACCCAGGTGCACCGGGTCTCTGGAGAGCCAGAAGTACCTATAAAGTCAACCATTACAACCTTAGCTGCATAAAAAGCTTTCCCTAGGGAATCAGCAGCAATTTAGCTAAACCACACAGCTCAAGTACTGGTCCTCACAGGAAGTTCCCCCATTTTAGAAGTAAGCAAAGGACAAAAAATTAGTTCCAGCCCAGGCATACTGCCAGCACCTCGGGGCCTGCCCTGGAACCTGAGGTATGGAGCCAAGGACTGGACCCCCCACCCACAACCAGGCACACTGCCAGCACCAAGGAGCATGCCAAAAACATCACCTCCATGTGGGTGGCTCACCACAGCCACCACAGTAACCATGGCTGCAATGAAAGCGGCTAGATGCCACAACCACCACGCAGATGGTCTGCTAGCCAATGGAGTGCACTGACACAAGGAGAGTCACCAGCAGAGACCAAAGAAAAGAATATGTCTCTCCACAAAGCCCATTCCAGAGTGACAGAAGAAGTATCTGCTCTACAATAATATTGAGGGACCTGAACACACCTCTCTGCATTGGACAGATTATTAGGCAACAAATCAACAGAGTAACCATTACTCTTTTGGAAGGAGAGAAGAAATCTAGGGTAATTAGAGGGGGAGTGAGGAGTGGGGAGGGAGAGGGGGATGGGGAGAGATTGGACAAGGGGCATAAAGAATAAGTACGATTTGTAACAGTTCATATGCTAGTAATATTGATTTGATCAACATATCTCAATGTTGAACCCCAAAAATATGTATAACCAATTATGATTCAATAAAAATTAAAAAAAAAAAAGAATGTTTGTTTCCATCTCTTCTATTCAATGTAGTACTAGAAATTCTAACCAGAGCAATTAGCCAGGAAAAAGAAATAAAAGATATTTAACATGGAAAGGAAGAAGTAAAAATATCTAAGTTCACAGATGATATTTTATTTGTAAAAACCTGAAAACCCTAAAGAGTCCATAAAAACTGGTAGAACTAATAAACAAATTCAGCAAAATTGCAGGATACAAAATCAATACACAAATAACACTAGTCTTCCTATACAGTAACAATGAACAACCTAAAAATAAAATTAAGAAAATAATTCTATTTAAAAGGCACCAAAAAGAATAAAATACTTAGGAATAAACTTAAGCAAGGACTTGTCTTGCAAAAGACTTGTACAGTGAAAATTACAAAATGTTGCTGAAAGAAATTAAAGACACAAATAAATGGAAAGACATCCTATGTTCATAGACTGGCAGACTTAATATTGTTAAGATGTCAACACTACCCAAAGCGATCTACATATTCAATGTAATCTCTGTAAAAATCCCAATTAAGTTTTTGCAGAAATAGAAAAATCCATCCTAAAACTCATATGGAATCTTAAGAATCCAGGATTAGCTAAAACAGTCTTGAAAAAGAAAAACAAAGTTGGAGGTCTCATATTTCCTGATTTCACCAGTACAAGCTACAGTTATCAAAACAGTGTGGTACTGGTATAAGGCAGACATAAGTATACACGTATTGAAATATAACTCTGTACCCCATAAATATGTACAATTAATTTTTCAATTACAAAATAAATAAATTTCTATTAAAGAAAGACAGACATATAGACCAATGAATAGAATAGAGAACATAGAATAAACCCTTGTATATATGGTCAAATGATTTTCATCAAGGATGTTAAGATCATTCAATTGGGAAAGAATAGTCTTTTCAACAAAAGATACTGGGAAAACTGGATATTTGTGTGCAAAAAATGAAGTTGGATCCTTACCTAACATGATATACACAAATTAACTCAAAATGGACCTATATGTAAGAGCTAATACTGTAAAACTCTTAGAATAAAACATAGGGAAAAGGTTTCAAGATATTAGATTTAGCAATAATTTCTTGGATGTGACACCAAAAACACAGATACTAAAAAAAAAAATAAATTGACTTTGTCAAAATTAAAAACTTATGTGCATCAAAGAACACTATCAACAGAATGAAAAGGCAACCCACAGAATGGAAGAAAATATTTGTAAGTCATGTATAAGGGATTAATATCCAAAATATATAAAGAACTACAACTCAACAACAAAAAAACTAAGAAATGGGCAAAGGACTTGAATAGACATTTTCCCAAAGAAAATATATAAATGGCCAATAAGTACATGAAAAGATATTCAACATCACTAATCATTAGGGAAATGAAAATCAAAACTACAATGAGACACCACTTAACACACATTGGATGGCTATTATAAAAAAAACCAACAGAAAATAAGAGTATTGGCAAGGATGTGAAGAACTTGCAACACTCGTGCATTGCTGGTAGGAATGTAAAATGGTGCAGCCACTGTGGAAAATGATCCGGCAGTTCCTCAAAACATTAAATACTGAGTTACTATTCCACTTCTGGGAATACGCCAAAAAGAAGTGAAAGCAGGGACTCAAAACAGATATTTTTACACCAATGTTCATAGCAGCATTATTTACAATAGCCAAAAGGTAGAAACAACCCAGATGTCCACGGACTGAATAAACAAAATGTGGTATATACATACTATGGAATATTATTCAGCCTTAAAAAGGAAGAAAATTCTGACACATGCTACGACACAGATAACCTAGAAGACATTATGCTAAGTAAAATAAGCCAGTCACAAAAAGGATAAATATTGTTATGACTTCCCTCATAGTACCTACAGTAGTCAAATTCAGAGACAGAAAGTAGAATGATAGTTGCCAGGAGTTAGGGGGAGAGAGAAATGGGGGCTTATTGTTTTATGGGTACAGTTTCAGAATGGGAAGATGGAAAAGCTCTGGGATGGACTGTGGTAATGGTTGCACAATATGAATGTATTTAATACCACTAAACTATACACTTAAAAATGGTTAAAATGGTAAATTTTATGTTACATATACTTTACAAAAAAAAAAAAAAAAAAAAAAAAAAAAAAAAAAAAGAGATGAAAAAGTTTTGGAGAGGCATGATGATGATGGTCACACAGCAACGTGAGTGTGCTTGATGCCACCAAACTGCACACTTAAAAAGGGTTAAAATGGTAAATTTTATTTTAAATATACTTTAAAAAAAAAAAAAAAAAAAAAAAGAAAGAAGAAAAAAAGGCCAAAGCTGCTCTGTTACTCAATCTTTCTTTCTTGAGCTCTTTTTAGATGGTATAAAAACACATACCTTTCTGTAAAACAGGGCTAAGGAACCAGTTCTCTTTGGTTTGCTTACTCCAGTCAGATGTACCTCTTGTGCTTTAGTCAAATGGGTTTGTTTTGGAGAAGCACCAATTAACGACTGAGCAGTAAGTGATACAGGACTCTTAACTTTGGACTCCTGAGTTGTATTCATGGCAATAGGTATCAGTGTGATCTCTCCAGCATCATTTGCAACACCTGAATGTACAAGCAAGAGTTCTCAGTTTTAGAAATAAGTGGCATGTATCCCAGGAAAGTTGTCAATTATATATATTTTGTTAATTATGTCTGTGTATGTAGAGGCATAGGAATATGTTAGAATAGGAGAGGAAGGCTACAAAATACTATTCTAGGTTATGACTGAATTCCTGTTTTCTATGTCTTCCTTGAAACAAGAATATTGTTTTGTTTTGATATTTTTATACTCTAAATTTATTTTAAAAAGCAAATTTTGTTCTCTATTTTGGGTGTGCCTGTGATTTTTTTACATTAGAAAAAAAAGCAAATTTTGTTTTGAGCATTTAAGGGGATGTTTTGAATCAAAAGCAAAATTCTTGCTCAATACTCTCACGTGGAAAGCTCAGATAAGAAAATAAAATAAGTCCTAACAAAGAGGATAGTAAATTTATAAAATGTGAAAATTTTAAAAAGTGTATGTTCAAAACAAAACAAAAGAAGGAGCATAGAGGATTTTTAGGGCAGCAAGACTACTCTGTATGATACTATAATGGTAGATACATGTCACTCATTGTACATTATCAAATCCATGAAATGTACAATACTATAGGTGAACCCTAATGTAAACTATGGGCTTTGGGTGATACTAATGTGTTACGGTAGATTCATAGATTGTAAAAATGTAGTACTCTGGTGGGGGATGCTCATGATGGGGGAGGCTGTTGAGGAAGAGGGGAAGAGGGGAAGAGGGTATATTGGGAAATCTCTGTACCTTCCTCTCAGTTTTGCTATGAACCTAAAACTGCTCTAAAAAATCAAGCCTATTAAAAAAAGAAAAAAAAAGTATAGGTTCAAGAAAAAACACTGAGTTAGAAAGACTTTGTGATCCAATCCATTAAGACATTTCTTAAGTTTTTATCCAACTAAGGAAAAATATGAAATAAGTGCACTAAAATGTTACCGTGCAATGGAATTGTAATTTTATGTTCTGTTGTTCCTGTTACTGTGGCTGTGGCCATTGTTAGAAGAGTTTGCCCAGGTAAAATTGATATATTTTCAGCAGTAATGCTTGAAGAAGGAGCAATTTTCAATTTTGTTCCTTCTGCTATGATCTTGTCCATAAGCACTTCCTTTGGGGGGTCTTCTCCAAAAAGTCTTCTCTTAGCACTCCCTGCGGTAGGAGAACTGTAGCGTTCATGGACAGAAATTGGAGACAATGGGTGCAGATCTAATAGAGAGAACAATAAATTTAAAACAGTTTGAAACATATTCCAAAGTAAATCAGGTTTACTTGTTCGCTCAACAAATATGCATAGTTATTAAGTTACTATGCTAGGCACTAGGGATCTAGCAGTGAATAATATGGCCTCTGCCCTCATAGACTATCAAGTCAAGAGAGAGAGAGTGGCATGAAATAAATCATTACAATAACATGTGAAAATTATGATATCTCATCTTCCTAGTTTCTTGAACCTCTACCTATATAAAAGGAGCAAAACATTAAGGATAAAGTAGAAGTTTAGAGGTAGAATGACATGACCACTCAACTTAACAAGTACTCCAACTAACTTGTATCTCCCCATTTTGCCTAGTAAATAGCACCTGAGAAGGAAAGCAAAATAAAAAATCAGTGATTGGGGTCACAGTTTTGTTTCCTCTCGTACCCCAGCACTCCAAGCAGTTTAAAGCAGTAGCTGTGGCTTTCTGATTTAGTAGATACAAAATCATCTTTAATAAGTCCATCAAAAGATATGAGTAAGGGAGATATGACTCTGCTTGCCTTGCCTTAATCTGAGGGTTGGCAGTAGTGTATTAATCAAAGAGAAAGTAAAGGTTATGGATTATGCCTCTCTTTCAGTGCTATCCTTCTGCAGGAGCTGCTCTCCATTCCCTCTCCACTAGATGCACTACATCTTTTCCACAATTCTTCCCCACTTCCATCAACCAATTGTTTCTTCACAGGTATATCAATGATATACTTTTTCTTTTTTTCTGTGGCTGACTGGTATAGAGATCCAAACCCTTGACCTTGGTGTTACCAACACCATGCTCTAATCCAGAAAGCTAACTGGCCAGCCCAGTAATATGCTTTTAAAGTGAAAACATTTCACTATTTATTTTTACATTCACTAGATAATTAGTCATGTAATCTATTTTTAAAACATGCTTATAAAAATATATAAACAAGGTATAAAAATAACCTTTGGCAATGATTTGGAAGCTCTCTTTATTGATGAGATAATTGGGAAAATAGTCATGATTTAATAAAAATCTTTCCATAATTCTGAGTGTTATAAAAGGAGCTCTGGGGCCGGCCCCGTGGCACACTTGGGAGAGTGCAGCGCTTGGGTGCGCAGCAGCATACCCGCTGCGGGTTCGGATCCTATATAGGGATGGCCGGTGAGCTCACTGGCTGAGTGAGGTGCGGGCGACACCAAGCCAAGGGGTTGCGATCCCCTTACCAGTCACGAAAAAGACAAAAAAATAAAATAAAATAAAAAAATAAAAGGAGCTCTGACTTCCCGTCTTCAGTAAAGAAGTGGAAATTTCTATTGTAGCTCCCATTACCCATTTATAAGAGTCTACTTGGATGCCTGATATCTAAGAAATCCAAGGGGGCCCTTTAATCTTACTAGAAATGTTCAAAGTTGACATTTCAAGGAAGTACTCCACTTAACAGCCAAGAAGTTAGCTGCAAACCCCTTGAAATGATCTTTTCTTAGCACAGTACTGGAAAAGCTATGGTAGATACTCTATCAAAATTTAATGAAAATAAAAATGAAAAGCTGATCCAAACTTAGACAGGAACACAACAATTTGCCAAGGTACAGAATGAGAAGAAGGCTGCAAGAACTGTTAAAACTATTCTTGGTAAGTTTAAAAAAATAATAATTCTCAATGTTCCTAATTTTTAAAATTATAGTGTACTAAATATTTTTACTATTTTTTCATTTCTCTAAACATTAGTAACTGACAGTAAGAAGAATTTTTAACATTTTGATACTTGTAAAGATTACAAAACAATCACAATCGTTTCCGTTGATTAAGTTGCTTTGCGTTCAAAGCTTGCAGTCGTTCTTTTCTGGGGTCGGGTGGGGTGGGGGCTGTTGGTTGGTATGGGGATTGAACCCTGATCCTGGCTGTTATCAGCATCATGCTCTAACCATGTGAGCTAATTGGCGAGCACACTGTTTTTTTTTTTTTTGCACATTCTTTTTTATGATCCTGTACTGCATGTAAAGCAAATACTACACACATACAGTCCAAAAATGAATGTAGAGCTACCTTCCTATGTAACCTGAATACTTGTTCATCTGAGGTATGTTTGGGGATAACTGTATATTCAAGAGATTTTCTTAACTGATTTTAAAAAATTCAAGAGCAAAAGAATCCAGAAGATGCACACATCAGTTTGCTATATCACAAGAGAAAATAAGGAAGAAAGCACTAAAATCTTCCCATTGGTAAGACTGAACTATTAAGAGTATATACATAAGTCACTTATTAGATGAACTTAAGCATCCCAAACAGAATGAGTTCTTTGTTTTACTTTAAATATTTTTCTGTAGAGACATACATAGACAAAAGAAGAACATAACTTTGGTCAATTTTTTTCTTTTTTAAAGATGACCGGTAAGGGGATCTTAACCCTTGACTTGGTGTTGTCAGCACCACGCTCATCCAGTGAGCTAACTGGCCATCCCTATACAGGGACCCGAACCTGTGGCCTTGGTGTTATCAGCACCACACTCTCCCAAGGGAGCCACAGGCTGGCCTAAACTTTTGTCAAATTTGAATAAGTAGGTATTTAGCTTACTTAAATAGTTTTCCATTAGCACTTAGGAAAGACTGTATACATTTATTAAGAGTACAAAATACTATTTCCATAATTGATATTGGAATTAAAAAATAGATTTTATTAAAAATCAGACTGGAAGTCCTATTACTTTAATGAAAGTATACAACGAACCATACAAAGGTGTTAGCGCAAGCATTATGTCCCTTTTCAAATCTTGATAAAAGAAATTTATTTCTTAATAATATAGAAACAAGACTTGAAATTTTCTCTAAAAAAATTGTTATTTTTTCATTATTTTGCCAATGTTGAATCTACCCCTTCGAAGACTCCCACTGTCAGTCCGAACTTCCTTGACTCTTGGATGCATTATAGGAGACATTGGCATCATGGGAAGGTGTCCCTGTACATTTCCTCCATTTCCTGTTTCAAAGTTATTTGGGAATATAACCTGCAGAAAACAAAAACCCTTTGCTTTACACACAGATAAATCCACTGATTAAAACTTACAACAGGAAAAATGAAAAAAAAATTTTCTTAACCTCTTTTGCTGTTTCATTTCTCCTTCCTTCTTATTTCTTCTCAAAATGTAACAACTCACATAAAGTGCTCAATTGTTAATGTTGCTAAAGATATGAAAAGCATTCATTTTGCTTAATCTTATAATTTATCTATGTAAGTTACTGACCACTAGAAGTAAACCTATGAGACAGACACTATCATCCTCCATTTACGGATGGGAAAACTGAGGCTCAGAATGTGAAATTTGCTCAAGGTCACACTATTACTTAGTAATAAGAGCAAGGGTTTCACTCCAAATACTTTTCCTTAAAGTTCATAATTTTTTTCACTTTCTCAATGGATTCTACAATGGAAATATACTGAGGAATACTGGAGTCTCTCTAATTAATCACAATCTGCTGCAAAAGACCAAAGAAGCTTGGAAGAGAGATTTCAAGAAACCATCTTATTTAATTCTTCCTGGTCTTGGACAGTTCTTCCAGTAGTTTAGAATTAGGAAAAAAACTAAAGAAGATAAAAGAAGTATAAGGAGACAGAGAAAAGCAAAGAAGGATCAAAAGACAGGAGTAGGCTGGCCAGTTAGCTCAGTTGGTTACACAGTGTTATAACACCAAGGTCAAGGGTTTGGATCCCTGTACCAGCCAACCACTTAAAAAAAAAAAAAAGTTATAAAAGAATAACATGGAGGAAAAAACTCTTAATTTCTCACATGATACTGAACTGTTAATGGTGATTTGTACACAACTTTTATTTTTACATTCTAAATAACACTAATGAAAGTGTTCAACTCTTTAGATAGACGTGAAAATTTCTAAATGAGATTAATGATGTCTTAGATATAACACCAAAAGCACAAGCAACAAAAGAAAAAAAACAGATAAATTGGACATCATTAAAATGAAAAATTTCTATGTTCCAAAAGACACCATCAAGAAAGTGAAAAGACAATGTGGAGAATGGGAGAAGAGTTTTGCAAATCATGTATCCAATAAGGGAGTTGTTTCTACAACATATAAAGTATTCCTATAACTCAGTGATAAAAAGACAACCCAATTAAACGGGCAAAGGATCTGAGTAGACATTTCTTCAAAGAAGATATGTAAATGGCCAACAAGCACATGAAAGTATGTTGCACACCATCAGCCATCAGGGAAATGCAAATCAAAACCTCAAGATATCACTTCACACCTATTGGGATGGCTGGGATATAGGAAAACTGTAATATCATACACTGATGGTGGGAATGATAAATGGTACAGTCACTTCAGAAACCAGTGACAGCTCCCCAAAAGCTTAAATAGTTACCATATGACCCAGGAATTCCACTCCTAGATATATCCCCAAGGGAAACGAAAACATTATGTCCACACAAAAACTTATACCTAAAATTTCATATCAGCATCATTCATAATAGCAAAAAGGTGGAAACAACCCAAATGTCTATTGACTGATATACAGATAAATAAAATGTGGCTTATCCATACAATGGAATATTACTTGGCAATAAAAGGAAATGAAAGGTTAATACATACTACAACATGGATGAGCCTTAAAAACATTATGCTAAGGGCTGGCTGACTAGCTTAGTTGGTTAGAGTGTGATGTTACAAAATCAAGATCAAGGGTTCAGATCCTCATACCGGCCAGTGGCCAAAAAAAAAAAAAAAAAAAAAAAGAAAAAAACATTATGCTGAGTGAAAGAAGCCAGTCACAAAGGACCACATGTTGTATAATTCCATTTATATGAAATGACTAGAACAGACAAATCTATAGAGACAGTAAGTAGATTAGTAGTTTCCTAGGGCTAGGAAGAAGATGGGGTGGGAAGCAGGGAAATGATAGCTAACGGGTATGGGTTTCTTACTAAAGTTCTTACAATATGTTCCAAAACTGACTCTGTGACGGCTGCACACATCTACAAATATACTAAAAAACTTGAATTGTACACTCTAATGGATGAATTGTATGATATATGAATTATATTTTGATAAAGCTGTTATTTATTTATTTTTTAATGACTGGATTATCAGACTTGTCCTGACTCACTTCTTCACAGGTAGGTACTTTGTTTGAAGAACCCTGGAGAGCCTCCCACAGTGCAGAATTGTGACTCCATGCTAAACTCTCCAAAATCTGTTCTTCAATGCTATTCAGGTGTTTCACCATGTCCCTCGAGAGACCCTCCTCTGAGCGGATCACTACCTCAATAACCTGGAGAGGAGAAAATTGAGAAGGCAATGTGGTTATAAGCAGTTAGTTCTATCTGGCTTACAAATATGACTGGTTCCAGCCTTAATCTGGGACACAGAACCAATACCATCTTTGAACCATAATTCTGTGGCTTACTAATATCTTTTAATTTATAAAGGAGCTTTTAAGGTCTTTAAAATGTTGTCACATTCATTTGTTTTTCATGTTTTATTTTTTACATGAAAAATTGTAGCAATGATAGGTAGAGACTGGTCAACAGCCTGACAGTAGTGTAAGTCAGGTCTTAGGTTCCCAGTCTGGTTCTATTTTGAACTTACTGTCTGTCCCTTCCCAGACTATTCTTAACCAATATCTCAAAAGAACAGAATGAATAAACTATTTAAAAGTAACTTTGCTTATATACACTATAATTCTATTTTAATAAGGGAAAAGATATAGAACAAAGTCTAAGTATATACACAAAAATATTAATAGTGATTATTAATAATTACGTTATATCATATGATTTTAATACATTTATGTGTATTTTCTGTTTTTCTTCAACAAGCATTATATTATTTATGTGGTAAAATAATAAAGGCATTTTGCTTCTTGAATGAAATAAGGATGTTATAAACAAAAACAAATTGCTATTAGGTTGTGGGCAAAAACTAAACTCATTCCTATGGGAAAATTTGAATATACACATCAGCGTTAATGTAAGTATATAGAATCAACTTTCCCTAAGAAATCTAAAAATATTTTAATCACACTCAGTCAACAATTCAAACAGATAAGCTTTCCAATGATATGCATTTTCTACAGCTTTAACTCAGGCATACTTTATTATTATTATTATTTTTAAAAAAATTTTTTTCCTTTTTGTCTTTTTTCGTGACCGGCAATGGATCGCAACCCTCAGTGTTGTGCCCGTACCGGACCGGGACCGGCAATGGGATCGCAACCCTCGGTGTTGCGCCCACACCTCGCTCAGCCAGTGAGTGGCCGGTCTGTATGTGGGATCCGAACCCTCGGTGGGAGCGCTGCCGCGCTCCCAAGCGGCGCACTGTAGCAGTGCGCCACTGGGCCGGCCCCTAACTCAGGCATACTTTAGGTACAAAAATTTAACTCTTCAAACTAATTTTTCTATTATCAGTAGTTTGCAAGTAGCACAGATACTGAAATATTAACTAAATCATGCTAATAAGTGTTAACAGTAGCATTAGTCTTAAATTCAAACACTAGGTAACATTAAATGCTATTACTAGGATGACTAAATATTATAGACTGTGATGATTTAGCTCAGTAGTTGTGACCTCTATATTTTATAAGAAAAAGGTTAATAAAAATAGTTGTATCAGAAAAAAAAAGTAAGGTAAGATTCATCCACACTAAATTAGCTCAAATTAGGGGAAGAAGCATGATCTGTTATTACATCTTCATGAGCTAGACCATCACCACAACCAATTTTAGACCTTTTCTTTCTCCTGGGAAAAAGCATTTTTGCTCTTTATTATGCATCTGTTTAATAAAATTATGATTTTCATTCATAAATATGGATAATTTGAAGTTAAAGTACTTGGTTCCAGGTCACATTCGCAAGTCAGTGGTGGAAAAAGAACTGAAGACAGGATTGGTTTAATTTACTGATACCTTCATCATTTCCCTTTTGTTCTTCATTTTACCCAAAAGAAATAAGTATCAGTATTTTTAGAACACCTCTGGAAATATTTTCCAGACATCATGAAAGCATGTTTCTTCAGCACTAAGATAAGTACAATGTTTATGTGAGGCACACCGTAACAGAATTTTGCTCTCATCTCACCTTATAAAAATAAAATGGTTGCAAATTGAGAACTTCAATAATCCAAGGAAAAGTACGAGGTGAACTATAGGCAAAGAGCACAATTTCCAAACAACAAGCCATCAGGGAATGATGAAATATATCCTGCTCTAAAAGAACCTTGGGGAAGAGAAAGGCCACAATTTAATATTTCTCAGCAATTGCAGTCTTTGCCATTCTAGAATTAAAGAAAACTACAGAAACAAGATAAAATAACTTGTGCAAATCACACTATGCTAGATTACCAGAGATAAAAATTATAAGCTTTTTTTCTAATCTTGATCAGTGGCAGATCTTAAGTTTAAATGAGCCATATATAACAATCTGCTTTAAAATCTGAACAAATAATAAAATAGTCAATGTTACTATCAAGAGAAAAGCATCAGTATTGGTTCTTTTTTTAATGACAGCTAACTGTTTTGTCAAATAAGGGTTTATTAATCAAAACACTGAAATGGAAGGTAATGTCACAGCTAAGACAAAAAAGTTCAAGAAAGAAATATTTAATTAAGAAGACTATTTCACCATTGAGTTTAAGATTCAAAATAAAACTTTATAGTTTTAAAGGTGTTTGTTGCCATCCTTCTTTCAAATATCACCTGAAATCAACAAAGAGAAAGAAACAGAAACTTAATTTTGGATAAAACTAGAAATCCACAAAATATGAAGACTAAAAATGGATGGAAGGATGATAAACTACTCAGCAGATAGGAGGATGGTCAAACATAAGGGCCTGTAGAGTGAAACTGAAATGAATTTGCTTTATGAAACCTGGGAAGGACATAGCAATTGAGGGCCCAGGCGAAATGGACAGTATGAGTGAGGCAGGAGCCAACAGAGATGGGTGATCTGAAAGCCTATAGTAATTAGAGCCCCTCAGGTCCCTACCCAACCCCTCAACCCCTACTCTAAGGGGTCAAATGACAGATCTCTAGTCTATTCCCATAGGGATGTGGTGGATTATTCTCTAAAAAAACTGAACCAAAGACTCAGAGCTAGAAAATACTGGGAACAAAACAAACTGGGATTTTAGGTGAAAGTCTGCAGACCAAAGTGTAAGACCAAGTTTCCCTTCCTTGTTCTGCACCACAACACCAACAGCCAGGACAGAGATTAGCAGATCGGTCTCTGGAGAAACTGAAATATCCCAGAAAAGCCTTACAGACACCAACAACTGAGGGTCCCTAATCTACCTGATTACCTAAGGCCACTGGACTTTTATCTCAACTCCTGCACACACAGCTTTGGATCAACTTTTTAGTACCTCATTCAAATATAAGTAGACAACCAAGAATAATACAACATTTGAAGAAGACTTTTAACTAAAAGACTTAGGTGAAAAAAAACAGAAAAATTCAGAGACAGAGAGACAAAGCCGGCAGCAAAAGAAAACTTTTTTTTTTTTTGTCTTTTTCCGTGTCCGGCAACGGATCGCAACCCTCAGTGTTGCCCCCGTACCGGACCGGGGACCGGCAACGGGATCGCAACCCTCGGTGTTGCTCCCGCGCCTTGCTCAGCCAGTGAGCGGGAACCGGTCTGTATGTGGGATCCGAACCCTCGGGCGGGAGCGCCGCCGCGCTTCCCAAGCGGCGCACTATCCAGTGCGCCACCGGGACGGCCCCAAAAGAAAACTTTAAAGAAATCTAAATTAATAAACTTAGAGAACAAGAAAGAGATGGAAATAAAGATATAGTTCAAATTAAAAATTCATTAGGACTAAATGATGAAAAGTTCAGTAAATATCCTTAAAAGTAGAACAGGAGAGACAAAGAAATAGAAAACAAGAGAAAAAAATAAGAAAATCAATTCAGAAGGCCAATCATCTGATTAATAAGAACTACACAAAAATCAACTGAATAATAAAAACTCCACAAAGATAAATCGGTGGGCAATTTATCATTTAAGAAATAATGCAATAAAATGACCAAGAACTGCAGGGCATAAATATCTAGACTAAAAAGAGCAAGTCTGTAGAAATGCCAAACAAATGAATGAAAAAACCCACAATAAAGCGCCCTATTACAAATTTTAGAACATCAGTGATAAAAGGAAGGTACTAAGAGTCCAGAAAGAAAACACAGGTCACATACCAATACAACTGGGAATGAAAATGCCATTAAACTCATTAGCAACACTGGAATCTAGAAGATAATGTAGCAATGCCTTCAAAATCATACAGGAAAATAATTATCAATCTAGAATTTTATACACAGAAACCTATCAATCAAGTGTAAATCTAAAATAAAGACATTTATGCAAAGTCTTTAAAAAGATTTAAGGTGAGGTAAGGTTTCTAGACTTTACTTCAATTGGCAAAATGTCTATAGCAGTAGACTATGCTATTACGTACATAAAATATAATACCTAGAGCAACCACTAAAAAAAAAAACTATATAAAGAGATATAATGTACAAAATGAGTAACCTACAGGAAGGCAGGAAAAAGAAAACAGAGAAACAACAACAACAACAAAAAAAAAAAAAAAAAAAGGGAGAGAGAGAGAACAAACAGAAAACAAATGGCAGACATAAGTCCTAACATCAATAATTAAATGTAAGTAGTCTAAATTCACCAATTACAAGACAGAAATTAACAGAGCAGATAAAAAAGTGATCCAATTATATGCTACCTACAAGAAACTCACTTCAAAGATAATGACATAGCTTGAAAGTAAAAAGATGGAAAAAGATATACCATGCAAACACAAATCAAAAGAAAGCAGAAGTGGCTATATATAAACATCAGATAGACTCCAGAGCAAAGAAAATTACCAGGGACATAAAGGTACATTTTATAATGATAAAAGGATAAATTCACCAAAAAGACAGAGAGCAATCCTAAATGTGCACACACCAAACAGTAGAGCTTCAAAATACGTGAACAAAAAAATCTGACAGAACAGAAAGAAACAGATAAATCCACAATTATATTTGGACCCTTTAATACCCTTCTCTCAACAAATGAGAGAACAACTAGACAGAAAATCAGCAAGGATAGAGAAGAACTCAACATCATCATCAACCAATTAGATACAACTGACATTAATAGAAAACTTCACCCAATGCTCACAGAACATTTACCAAGATAAACCATATCCTGGGCCATAAAATAACATCAACTAATCTAAAAGAATTGAATTCATACAGAGTGTATTACAAAATTATAGAAATGGAAAACAGAGTAGTGGCTAAGGGGAGTAAGTGTAACTGTAACAAGTAACGAATGACAGAACAATTCTGTATTTTGATTTTGGTGGTGGTTATATAACCTACACATGTGATACAATTGTACAGAGGGATACATATATTGTTTCAATGTCAATTTCATGGTTTTGATATTATACTATATAAATTATAACCACTTGGGGAAACTGGGTAAAGGGTGCATGGGACCTCTCTGTATTACTTTTACAACTTTCTGTGAATCTATAATTATTGCAAAACAAAAACTTAAAAAATTTACTTCTTTCTAAGGAAGTTATGAGAGGGTATGTTCCATCATTACGTTAGGATAACACAAAAGCAAAAGACATGGAATCCAGAAAAAAGGGGAACAAACAGAAGAGATATGAAGAAAATTTCCAAGGTGAAAACAAGAAGAAATTTTATTACAATAGTTATACAGCACCATCCTTAGACATCAACTTGTTTTTATTGGAATAGGACAGAAGACTCCAGGAGTTACTGTAGAGGAAGAGAGGGAGGGAGGAGGTAACTGAAAGACTGAAATTGTATAAAAATCTTTTACATAGCTGCTGGAGAGAGTGGTCAGACTTTGTCAAATATTAAAAGGAAACAAAGTAATTAAACACACACACACACACACACACACACACACACACCCACCCCTGCTGGAGAGAGTGGTCAGACTTTGACACACACGCACACCCCCACCCACAATTAAACACACACACACACACACACACACACACACACACCCACCCCTGCTGGAGAGAGTGGTCAGACTTTGTCAAATATTAAAAGGAAACAAAGTAATTAAACACACACACACACACACAGTTAGCTTAATAGTTGGAGAGACTGATTAATACTAGCTGGGACTGAAGGACGGAAAAAAAGGATAGAAAGGGAAAGGACACTGACTGTGTACCAAAGATGAATTTTATGTATTTCACATTTCTGCCTAGATGTGGCTAACCCTGGATGTGCCAAAGTCAATTAAAGTAAACTACAATGTCATTCTGGCCAAGTTGCCATAAACTGCTGACCTCCTTAAGCCTCTCAAAACACTGCTTCCACACTAGGACTTTTGGACCTTGCCAGTGGCTGGGCGTGGATTTACTTACTGACATGTCCATTCCATGAAGTCTTCGGGTTTCCTGAACCATTACAGCCTCTAATATTTTATAATACAAAATTTCTGCCAGCTTCAGTCTGTTTACAGCAAAGTCTACAGGGGAAATAAAGGGAAAACATGAACTGATGAAATCTAGTCATTAGGGACTGAAGAACAACTTTTATAAACTTAAATCTGATAAAGATTTAAGAATCTTTAATGTAAGAATTAATTACATTAATTAATGTAATTCTTACATTAAAAATAAAAGGGAAGGAAAAAACTTGAATTTCTACTTTTTGGGGGACAATCTATGTACTTTCAATGCTATGCCAATTTTAGTTTTCTCTCTTTTTTTTTTTTTAAAGGATGACCGGTAAGGGGATCTGAACCCTTGACTTGGTATTGTCAGTGCCACGCTCACCCAGTGAGCTAACCGGCCATCCCTATATGGGATCCGAACCAGTGGCCTTGGTATTACCAGCACCGCACTCTCCCGAGTGAGCCATGGGCCGGCCCTTAGTTTTCTCTTCTTACCTATATGAGATCCTGGCTGTTCATCTGTTGATTGAGTATAGTGTTGGCAGAAAGTTTCTCCAATTCCTTTCAGTATTTTCACAATGTTTTCCATAGGATTACGCACACATGATCTACAAAATACCAGAGGAACCTAATTACCAGGAGAAACACCAGACTACCAACATTTCTTCTTTCAAGAATTAATATGGGGGCTGGCCAGTTAGCTCAGCTGGTTAGAGTATGGTGCTGATAACATTAAGGTCCAGGGTTCAATCCCTGTTCTCCAACTGCCAAAAGAAAAAAATTAGTTTGGGGGCCGGCCTGTGGCTCACTCGGTAGAGTGCGGTGCTGGTAACACCAAGGCCACGGGTTCGGATCCCATATAGGGATGACCGGTTAGCTCACTGGTTGAGCATGGTGCTGACAACACCAAGTCAAGGGTTGAGATCCCCTTACCGGTCATCTTTAAAAAAAAAAATTAGTTTGGTTTTTAGTGGCTAAAGTTCTATTCTCCGTTGTAAACTTACATATGTAAACAAAGCTTTACATATGTAAAATTTTTTCATATATACAATATGTAAAATTATAGAAATATATTAAATTACACATAATGAAGTTACATATATTTTTAACATATATGAGAAAGCTTTGTTTCTATGAATTTGACTACTTTATATGCCTCATATAAGTGGAATCATGCAGTAGTTATCTTTTTGTGATGGGCTTATTTCACTTAACATACTCAAGATTCATCCACATTGTAGCATGAGATGATTTCCTTCTTTTTTAGGGCTGAATAATATTCCATCACGTGTAGACAGCATTTTCTTTATTTATTCATCCATAGATGGACATTTAGATTGCTTCCACATCTTGGCTATTGTGAATAATGCTGCAGTGAATGTGGTGTGCGAATATCTTGAGAGCTGGTTTACAACTGGTTTACAGACAACCCCCAACTTATGATGGTTAGACTTACAATTTTTCGACTTTACGATAGCACTAAACCACTACACATTCAGTAGAAACCGTACTTCGAATTTTGGTCTTTTCCCTGGCTAGTGATATGTGGTACAATATTCTCTATGCTGGGCAGTGGCAGTGAGCCACAGCCATGCGATCATAGGGTAAACAACCAATATTTGCTACCTTTCTGAAGAATACTATGACTGCTAAACCATCAACAAGTGTCAATGTCCCAGTGCCTTCTACCAGTTATTCTCAAGCCTCATCAGAAGAGAAACTGATTACCCTGTCACTGTGGCATCCCATCATCCAGCAATTAATTTTTTTTTTTTTTTTAAAAGATGACTGGTAAGGGGATCTTAACCCTTGACCTGGTGTTGTCAGCACCATGCTCACCCAATGAGCTAACCGGTCATCCCTATATGGGATCCGAACCCGGGGCCTTGGTGTTATCAGCACCACACTCTCCTGAGTGAGCCATGGGCCAGCCCATCCAGCAATTAATTTTGAAGTTCAATGCTTCAAACATTCTTTAGGCCCAGTGTGCTTTCAGCTGTGTATGTTGAGTACTCATACAATTCTGTTCTTCACTTTTAGTACAGTATTCAATAAATTGCATGAGGTATTCAACACTTTATAATAAAATAGATGGTTTTACCCAACTGTAGGCTAATCTAAGTGTTATGAACACATTTAATGTAGGCAAGGCTAAGTTATGATGTTTAGTATATTAGGGGTATTAAGTGCATTTTTGACTTAATGATGTTTTCAACTTACAATGGGTTTATCAGGATATAAATCCATCATAAGTCAAGGAGCATCTGTAAACCCAGAAGTGGTACGGAGTCATATCATAATCCTATTTTCAGTTGAGGAACACCTCCATATTGTTTCTCATAGTGGTTGCATCATTTTACAATCTCATCGACAATGCACAAAGGTTCCAATTTCTCCACATCCACACCAATGTTTGTTATTTTCTGGGTTTTTTTGGGAGGGAGGGGGGAGTGGCATCCTAACAGATGTGAGGTGATATCTCATCGTGGTTTTGCATTTCCCTGATTAGTGATGTTGAGCACTTTTTCATATGCTTGTTGGCAATTTGTATATGTCTTCTGGAGAAATGTCCACTCAATCCTTTACACATTTTTTTTTTTTTTTACTTTTTTTTGGCAGCTGGCCAGTTTGGGGATCTGAACCCTTGACCTTGGTGTTAAAACACCACACTCTAACCAACAGAGCTAACTGGCCAGGCCCCTTTACACATTATTAATCTGGTTGTTTTCTGTTACTAAGTTACAGTTCTTTATATATTTTAGATATGAACCTCTCATCTAATACATGGTTTGCAATTATTTCATTCATTCTGTATGTTACCTTTTCACTCTGTTGATTGTTTTCTTTGCTGCATAAATGTTTTTAAGTTTCGTATAGTCCCATTTGCCTATTTTTGCTTTTGTTACCTGTGCTTTTGGTGTCATATTCAAGAAATCATTGCTCATTACAATGTCATGAAGCTTTTCCCTCACATTTTCTTCTAGGAAATTTATAGTTACAGGTCGTATGTTTTAGGTCTTTAGTGCATTTTGAGTTAATTTTTGAATATCATTATAAGGGTCTATCTTCATTCTTTTGCATGTGGATATCCAGTTTTCCTGGCACCACTTGTTGAACAGATAATCCTTTCCCCATTGCAGAGTCTTGGCACCCTTGTCAAAGATCACTTGACCAGATATGTGAGGGTTTTTTTCTGGGCTCTCTATTCTATTCCATTGGTCAATAGATCTGTCTGTATGCCAGTTCCATACTGTTTTGAAAACCGTAGCTTGTACTAAGTTTTGAAATCAGGAAGTGTAAGACCTCTGGCTTTGTTCTTCTTTCTCAAGATTGTTTTGGCCATTTGGCATCCTTTGAGATTCCATATGAATTTTAGGGTTTTTTCCCTATGTCTGCAAAAATTGTCATTGAGATTTTGAAAGGGATCCCACTGAATCTATAGATCACTTTGGGTAGTATGGACATTTTAACAAGCCTTCCAATCCATAAACATGGGATGTCTTCCCATTTATTTATGTCTAGGTTCTTTATCTCATCCATTCTATATTTCCTTCTTTTTCTTGTTGCTATGTTTGTATAGTTGCCTTGCTACTTCTTTTCAACTTATGCTTAAATGGGTAGTTCAATCCAGACCTATTTACTCAAATGCTGTGGAGGATAGATCTCCATGACAGTCTTCCTACATTACCTACAACCTGCTTATCCTTTTGAGGCTAGGGACTATTCTGTCTACTTTCTTATATCCAGAATCAGGTTTGGAGAATGAGAAAGAACTCAGCTGGTGCTATATTCAACTTCTGTTGGAGGACCAGGGCTTTGCTTTCTCTTCTGAGATTTAGTTACATGTCCTCTTTCCAGGGCTCTCTATACCTAGTCAGGGATGTCTTCTAGTTTTATGAGGATCTCTCCTCAAATCATCACACAGTGTTGGAAATGGCAGCCCCTGGCAGTTTTTCATATTTCTGCTGGGATCCTGGTAGTGGTACATAGGAACTTTCACTAGGGGAGGTTTCTATGAATTTTTACTCATCTGCCTACTCACCTCATTTGTTTCTTTTCAAATTTAAGATATTAATGAGCATTCTCAAGATTCTATCAACATACCCTCTTTTTCCAGTACTGTTTCTTGGGGATGGGTATACCAGAATCATCCATTTCCTTTCTTGACCAGTACCTTGAAAATTTATGGCATGAAATCATATCCCTTTCTTCATTTGGTTGCTGCTGGTAAATACTTGGTTGTTGCTGGTTTTTACTATTCTCTTATTTCATTGGGTATGAGGAAAGAAGGTTCTCTAATCTGGCTTCATTCTACCATCTTTACCAGAAAACATGCCTCCTTTCTTAAAAAAAAAATTGCATAAAATTCCATTTTATGGCTACACCACCAGTCCCCCATCTAATGGACATTAAGACTGAACACATTTAAAGTAAATGTAAAAAGAAAAACATGCATAATTCAGGGATGGTTACAAGAGTGGAACCTCCAAACTAAATAACTTTTAATATATACTTAACTTTGGAAGTGTATAATCCTATGAAATAACATTACATATAATTTTTAATAGGTACTTCTATCTGTTTTTGATTGAAATGGTATAGTAAAACTTGCCAAATGTATATCTACTATATCAAGAATTCTGAATATACCGAAAATAGAACAAGGAATCTATTTTTTAAAAAACTTTAGAAAAATAACAGTATTTACTCAAAAATATTTATAAGTTGTTCACTTGGTGCATTTTTCAGTCCAGCCACAATACTCTGTAACCGGCTCACACTTTGGGTGGCTGAAGCAACAGGAGTAATGACTGCTTCTTTTTCTCGTAAATACCGCCGTCCTGTCAATGGGGTAGAAGGTGCGAATGATCTTTTCTGTTGGAAAAAAAAAATCTGTGAGATTACAAGGTTACTTTCCCCCTTATTATATGTTTAATTCAATACATATATCATCTTCTCTATTCATACTTAGTGGTAAGTTACTTTCTTCCCCTTTTCTGGTTACTTGCCAATTTTTTTTTTTTTTTCATTCTAAGGTTGAAAAATGGGGGCTGGCCAGTTAGCTTAGTTGGTTAGAGAATGTTGCTGTAACACCAAAATCAAGGATTTGGATCCCCACATTGGCCAGCTGCCAAAAAACAAAGAAAAAGAAAAATGGAATACCCACAAAACTTTTAGCAATATTATGCTAATAACACCCTTATATCTGAATAATATTTTTTTCAAAGCACTTTCTACTTATAATCTCATTTTATCTTCATAAAACTCATTTGAAATGTAACATACACATATTTTAATTTTACATATGAGGAAACAGAAACAGAGAAATTAAAAAAAACTTGTTTAATCTGACAAAATTAATGGCAAGGCTTGGGTTAAAACTCAGGTTATCTACCTTCTAAACCACCAAATTTTCTATTAAACCTCATCCTCCTACCCATTTTACACATAAATACAGAATTAAGCTTTGGCCATTAACAATCAAGTCTATAGCCATATGGGTGAAGTTAGGAAGAGCACACAGTTTGTTTTGGGTAGGAAAGCAACCTAAATTTTAAAGCAACATAACAGAAGGTAAGATGAAGCAAAGAAAGAATGGTAAGAAAATAAAAATTTCTGATAACACCAAGGCCACGAGTTCGGATCCCCATATAGAGATGGCTGGTTCACTCACTTGGGAGAGCGTGGTGCTGACAACACCAAGTCAAGGGTTAAGATCCCCTTACTGGTCATCTTTAAAAAAAAAAAAAAAGGGCCGGCCCGGTCGCGCACTGCTACAGTGCGCCGCTTGGGAGCGTGGTGGCGCTCCTGCCAAGGGTTCGGATCCCACATACAGACCAGCAGCTCACTGGCTGAGCGAAGTGCGGGTGCGACACCAAGGGTTGCGATCCCGTTGCTGGTCCCAGTCCGGTACGGGCGCGACACTGAGGGTTGCGATCCGTTGCCGGTCACAAAAAAGACAAAAAGGAAAAAAAAAAAAAAAGAAAAGAAAAATTCCTCTTTCTATCAAGACACATATTTTACTAATAAGCCCAAGTGTGCTGGGAAAATGTATCCAAAATATGAATAACAGCAAGAAATGAGGTAAAAAAATACTAATGCCATAGTTTTTCTCCTTCTTCTTCTTCTTTTTTTTTTTGATTTAACATATGCTTTGCCTAGGAATAAGTGGCATAGTTTTAAAATTACCTTTTAAGGCTTTTATGAGAAATATGAAAGTCAAGATTTAACTTGAAAGATGCTTCTGCTGTTAGTAGAATCACACACACAGAGAAAAAAATCACTCAAGACTGAGGCCAGGCTAGGGTATATTACTTTTTCAAAGTGTTGTTGAAGGTTATACTCCACATTAGCCTGTGCTGTCAGTTTCCCTAATGGGGTGTCACCAGTGAATTTTCGAGGCGTTCCGATTTCTTCTTCCGCATCTGCTCCCAAAAAGATCCTCTCATCAAAGTCACCAACAGTTAGAACATACTCTTCATACTCCTTGTTCACTGCTTTGCTGCAAAGAGAATTATTTTGAGCTGCTAGAATAAAACTAAGTTACAAAGTGGATTTATCTTGACTTGAAGGTATATTTGGAGTCGACAGCTTGGGAAAGCTGAAGACTTTCTAGTTTTTATTAAGTGTCCATTTAACAATATTAGAAGTTCCTATCTGATTATGGACATTTTTCACGTTCACATACACAACAATAAATTATTCTGAAACAGTGAGTGAAGCGAATACATAATACTTAATCTGAAAATTAGCTAAATTTAATTAAGGAAAAGAAAATGATATCTGATCATTGAAGAAACAATAGTGGCTTTGAAATATGGGCACTCTGAATTTGCCAAAATGTGAAAAATGATAGGATGTAAAATCAAATACAGAATCATTGGGTCCATTTATCAGTTTTTCAGGAGAGTAGTTGTTTTAAATGCCAATGCTTTCTTTAAATAGATGTACTTACAGCCAGCAAGGCTTAGTGACAACACCTATTCAATGCCAGTAAAGCAGAGGGAACTTGGACTTAGAAAAGTTACCTTGATATAATGTTACATTTAACAAATTTCAACAAATTATTGGCAGCTGGTAATAGGCCAACATCATTAGTGCTAGATACTTACCTATTATCAGTAAAACTGGAAAGGTCTAAGAGGCATTCTCCTTTTAAAATCTGGGAAGAAAAAATTATTTGGGAACATCATATAATATAATTAAGCATACTGACACACAAAAAAACCCCGTAAAATTTATCTAAATTTTCACACTGTTGGTTCTTATTAACACCCACAGAAAACAGAATTACTAAATATTCTTTCTGAGTAAAACACATTGAGCATGCAAATAAAATATTTTAAAAAGTTTAAAGTCAAGTTTTGAAAATATTTTGAGGTTAACCTATGACAGTGGTTTTCAAGTTTTAGTGATATAAGAATCACTTAGGGAAGCAGGCAAGAAGCAGAGCATGCCCAGGCGCCTAGTCAGGAGACAAAGGCTGCAGACCCCTCAGCCCAGAAGCAGGCAAGCAGCAGAGCATGCCCAGGGTCATAGGCAGGAGCAGAGGGCAGTCTCCCCGGCCTGAAAGCAGACAAGGAGCATAACGAAAATACCACTTCCGCATGTGTGGCCCACCACAGCCACCACCACAGCCGCCACAGCACTAGCCACAACCACCATGCAGGCAGCCCACCAGATACTCGACTGCACTGACACAAGGAGAGTCACCAGAGGAGACTGGAAAAAGAAGACGACTCTCTCCTCAAACTCCACACCAGGGTAATAGAAGCAGCAACTGCTCTACTGGATGACCAGATGTCAATGTAGAGATACTGGAAATATGAAAACCCAAGAAAATATGACACCACCAAAAGAAAACAGTAATTCTTAAATACCAGACCCTATAGAGCAAGAAACCCCTGAAGTGACTGAAAAGGAATCCTGAGCAACAATGTTAAGGAAACTCACTGAGATATGAGAAGACTCAGACAACATAATGAAATGAGAAAAACATCCAGGATATGAAGCAGGAAATTTACAAAAAGACGAATACCTTAAAAAAGAATGTAGTAGAACTCATGGAACAGAAAGATTCACTCATCAAAATAAAAAACACAACCAAGAGCTTAAGCACCTTAACACAACCTAGAGCAAGGAGAAGAAAGAATTTCTGATTTTGAAGATAGTCTTTTTGAAATAACCCAGGTGGACAAAAAAAAAGGAAAAAAGAATTTTAAAAAATGAAGAAAATCTAAGAGAGCTAGGAGACAACCTCAAGTGCACAAATATTCCAATCACGGGCATTCCAGAAGGGCAGGAGAAATGAAAGGGCATGAAAAACCTATTCAACAAAATAATAACCCTCAAACTTCCCAGGTACAGAGAGAGACATGAACCTTCAGAACCAGGAGGCTCAAAGATCCTCTCTCCAAGACATATTATAATCAAAACTCAAAGACAAAGGGAGAATCTTAAAAGCAGCAAGAGAAAAGTGTCAAGTCACCTGTAAGGGAGCCCCTTTCAGACTAACAGCAGACTTCTCAACAGAAACTCTACAGGCCAGAGGAAAGTAGGACAATATATTCAAAGTACTAAAAGAAAAAAACCTGCCAGCCGAGAATACTATAACCAGCAAGGCTATCCTTCAGAAATGAGGGAGAAATAGTGTATTTTCCAGACAGACAAAAACTGATGGAGTTTACCATCACATGACCAGCCCTGCAAGAAATCCTCAAAGGAGTCCTGCATCAGGAAACTAAAAAACAATAATCACTCATTGCCTTGGGTTAAATATCCCCCCAACACTTAATACCCATTGCAACTGTTGAGGGTGGGTAATCCTATTATGGTAATTGATGGGGGGGCCTTGAAGAGGTGATTAGATTGTAGGACCATGCCATAATGAATGGATTAAAAATGGTGGTCATGGGCGTGGTTTGGAAGGCTTTAAAAGGAGAGTGAATGAGGAGGTTAGTGTCTCTCTCTTGCTCTCTCTGCTCCGCCATTTCGAAATGTGGTACCCTGCCATCACTGAAGTCTCCATCAAAGAAAGCCTTCACTAGATGTGTTCCCTGGACTCTGGACTTCGTAGCCTCTGAAACTGTAAGCAATAAATTTTGTTTTCTTTATAAATTACCCAGTACTGTGTGTTTTGTTATAAGCAACAGAAACGGACTAGTACACTCATCTTACCAGCTATAGTTCTGTTCAAACTTTGTTTTTTCATAATTCAGTCTTGGTAGGTGGTGTGTTTCTAAGAATTTATTCATTTCATCTAGATGATGTAATTTGTTGACTAACAATTATTCATAGTATTCTCTTATAACTCTTTTGATTTCTGTAAATTTGGTTGTAATGACCCCGGTTTCATTTCTGATTTTAGTTATTTGAGTCTCTCTTTTTTCTTAATCCATCTAGGTAAAGGTCAGGCAATTTTGTGGATCTCATCAAAGTACCAACTTTTGGTTTCAATGATTTTCTCTACTTTTCTTTTCTATTTCTTTTAATCTATGCTCTAATTTTGTTTTTTCCTTTTTGTCTTTTTTTTACTGACCGGTAACGGGATCGCAACCCTCAGTGTTGCACCCGTACCGGGGACCAGCAACGGGATCGCAACCCTCAGTGTTGCACCCGTACCGGGGACCAGCAACGGGATCGCAACCCTCAGTGTTGCACCCGTACCGGGGACCAGCAACGGGATCGCAACCCTCAGTGTTGCACCCGTACCGGGGACCAGCAACGGGATCGCAACCCTCGGTGTTGCGCCCACACCACGCTCAACCAGTGAGCGGGAACCGGTCTCCACATGGGACCTGAACCCTCGGCGGGAGCGCCGCTGCACTCCCAAGCAGCACACTCTCCAGTGCGCCACCGGACCGGCCCTATGCTCTAATTTTTATTATTTATTTCCTTTGCTAGGTCTAGGCTTAGTTTGCTCCTCATTTTCTAGTTTCCTAAGGTGCAAAGGTGATTGCTGATTTTGAGATCTTTCTTTTTTACCAACATATGCATTTACATTAAATAAATTTCCCTTTTAGCAAAAAAATAAAATAAAATAAAAAATATATCTTTTTCAGTCTTTTATTTGGATGTAGATGTGGAGTTTAAACATACCTGTTTTTAGTGAAGTTTTTCATCCTGCTTTTTCACTTAATATTACATCTTAAGAATTTTGTCTTAAATTCTCTTCAAAATTATGAATTTCATAACTGCATTATATTACATTTTATGGAGGCCCATAATTTATTTAGCCATTCTCATATTGTTGGACATTCAGTTTATTCCCAATTTTTTTCCTTTATATAACTGCCTTCCACATTAAAAAAAAAAGTTTGAAGATCTGCTTACGGTTTCAAGAAGTAGGATAATTGATTGAAATTGTATGAATATTTTAAGGAGTTCTATTTAAGAATCCAATCTGTTCTTCAAAAGTTTTACCAATTTGTACTTGTACTAGAAGATTTTGACATTGTTTCTCACTTAGCACCAGTATTATATAGTATCATACTTTTTCAGTTTGAAAAATGAAAAATGTCATTTTCCTGTTCTTTTTTTTTTTTTTTTTGTCTTTTTCCGTGTCCGGCAACGGATCGCAACCCTCAGTGTTGCCCCCGTACCGGACCGGGGACCGGCAACGGGATTGCAACCCTCAGTGTTGCTCCCATGCCTCGCTCAGCAAGTGAGTGGGAACCGGTCTGTATGTGGGATCCGAACCCTCGGGCGAGAGCGCCGCCGCGCTTCCCAAGTGGCGCACTACAGCAGTGCGCCACCAGGCCGGCCCTACACTATCCAGTGCGCCACTGGGCCGGCCCTCATTTTCCTGTTCTAATTTCCACTTCTATGAACATCTTAGCATGTATTTATTAGCCACTTGTGTTTCTTTTGGATGTGTGATTTGTCTGCTCATGTTTTTTTTTTTTTTTTTTTTTTTTTTTTTTTTTTTTTTTCACAACCCTCAGTGTCGCCCCCGTACCGGACCGGGACCGGCAACGGGATCGCAACCCTCGGTGTTGCCCCCGCGCCTCGCTCAGCCAGTGAGCGGGAACCGGTCTGTATGTGGGATCCGAACCCTCGGCGGGAGCGCCACCGCACTTCCCAAGTGGCACACTAGCGCAGTGCGCCACCGGGCCGGCCCTGTCTGCTCATGTTCTTCACCAAATTTCTGTTAAGATTTTTCTAATTCATTTTTTTTTTTTTTGTCTTTTTCGTGACCGGTAAGGGAATTGCAACCCTTGGCTTGGTGTCGCCCGCACCACGCTCAGCCAGTGAGCACACCGGCCATCCCTATTATAGGATCCGAACCCACGGTGGGAGCGTCGCTGCGCTCCCAGCACTGCACTCTCCCGAGTGCGCCACGGGGCCAGCCCCTCTAATTCATTTTTAAGAGTTCTTTATGCATTAAGGACATTAATCTTTGTGCGTTAAATTTGTTCCGTATCAATTGACTTTAAATAAAAAAAAACAACTAAAAAACTAAAAAACTTCAGAGTCAGTCTACTTATCTGTAAAATGGGGATATTAAATAGCATCCCCCGCCCCCACAAAAAAGGAATCACTTAGAGGGAAAACGTTAAAAATACAGACTGAAGGACCTCAAGGCCTGAAATAATGTAGCATTTTTAACAAATTCCCAAAGTGATTCTGATGAAAGCTGTCCACTATTAAATACTGCTCTATGGAAAAGGGAAACTAACATTAATTGAATCATTTATACGTGTTTATATGTGGGTTTTTTTTTTTTTTTTCCAGCTGACCAGTACAGGGATCTGAACTCTTGAACTTGGTGTTACAACACTGTATTCTAACCAACTGAACTAACCAGCCAGCCCTATGTTGCGTTATGTAAGCAAAAGATTCGAAGATAATATAGGTACTGTCACTGGTGAGAAAGAAAACTATACCGTTATTAATATTTTCTTTGTATCCACCCTGTACTTGGATTACCATACATCAGGGGTTGCAAACTCAAATGCCTTGAGGGGTCAGGGTTCAATATACATAAATGGGCCGGCCCAGTGGCGCACTGCTACAGTGTGCCGCTTGAGAGCATAGTGGCGCTCCCGCCGAGGGTTCGGATCCCACATACAGACCGGTTCCCGCTCACTGGCTGAGC